TTTTCGGAAAAAAAAATTTCGTAATTGTGAACCAATTTTTTCAAATAGCTTTTTAAGAAAACAGAAATGCATAAATATTTGATTTATTTGACAATCTGTTTTAAAGCTCGTGTACATATTATTCTCGAAACTGATAGCAATATATTGTGATTCATTAATCAAAGGTAAAAAATTTCTTAATCAATGATGTAGGCGGATTTTACAGACTTCGATAGACATTAAAAGTTGTTTTTCTATTTATATGCTCAGTTTAGGAATAGATAAATAAATAATTTATATTATAATTAGGCTTGAAAAACTATGTGAGCTTTCGCTTAGATATTTTTGATAATATTAGTGAATCATTAAATACATTTTTAGAGTTAATATTTACATAAAAGGACGCTATAACGCGGGAGAAACTTTTCGTGGAAAATTCTCTTTAAACTACTCGAGTAATTTAAAATTTCAAGAAGAGTAGATTAACCAAGAGTAAAGTTTAAGGTTTAGTTTGCTGAAAGTTTTTTCTTCTTTTTTTTTTTCCTTCAAAATATCAAGTTTTGGCAGGATTACTTCCCTTCCACAGCAGCTGATTTCACTTAAATTTGTTTGCAATTTGTGATAGTTTGAGAAAATAAAAATAAAAAAAGTAAGTTTTTGAAACTTTATAGTTTACTCTTAGTTTATCTTAATGTATTTTTTCCATACTTAAAATTTTAAATTTTTAATGTAGTTTAAGGAAAATTTGTCATGTAGAGTTTTTCTCGCGGTATGGCGTCCACTTCAGCACTCGAATATTCAGTTGCATGATACAGAATCTATGCATATATATATATTCATGATGTTTCGTAAAGAGCACCCTTAATTTGTATTTTCAAAATCCTTATCAAAATTTAAAATAAAAAAACTATACACATTAAGATTCACAAATAAGTATTCAAACGAAAAAAAGACAAAAACGACGTCAAAATCTGTTCAATTACAGTAGAGGAAGCAGATGTTAAAAAAATCAAAACAGGTATAATTGGAGGTTGAAAATCGTCTTTGGGGCTGTTCGAAAAGTATGTACACAAAGATGGAGAAATTTTAATCCCCTCCCCCCCTTTCGTTCATTACCGTACATAAGGTCTTAGAGTACGTACATTTTATTAGTCTACCCCCTTTTTCATAAAACTTAAAATAATTATGTTTTAAATAAAATTAAATATTTATTTAAGGAGTGTGTAGGAAAAAATCAAATTTAAATTTGGTGTATGCTTATAATGTACGTATTTCGTACAATACCTCCCCCCTCCCCATCGTACAAAACCGTACAAAATAGCAAATACCCCCCCCCATCGGGATGTATGTACTTTTTGAACGGCCCCTTTAAACTCTTCTCAGAGTTTTATTTTATTTATTTATTTGTTTTGTAATTATTTTAGCTCTCGATATATGACTTTTAGTTTTGTTCATGATTTACTTAGCATTGATTAATACCTATCAATAACCTCCAACTCCTACGAAATTTCCATAGTTTTAGAAAATGCTTATCATAAAGGTAGCCTATTCATTGATCATTTACGTGGCTATTTTTGTTGAAGTAAGGTTTATTCGATTTATTAAACTCCAGCTAAATCCCACGCGTAGAATCATAAGCAAATAAAATATTTCATGCTACATGCATAACTTTTCCCGCAAAGCCCCCAATTAAACCACAATCTCTGATAACTTCACCAACGCTAATGATGACAGGCATTGCGAAAAAAAAAAGCTGACTTCCTATATTTAGAATCCCCAAAACGCCAGCTCAGCTTTTCATCTCTCGCCAAAAAGTGCCATAAATTGCCAAATGTATTCACTGGGATATGAAAGCATCTCCTGAATCCATGCCGATCATGGTTGCGGCACTCAAGCCCGCTGCCTATCCATTGGTTGCGTAGAGCAATGCACGTGAACATGAGGTGATGAGGGGCTACAGTGTTTGGAGCATCTCTTGATCACTGGTTTTGCTATCAGTTGAAAAGCATTAGTCGATTTAGTCGTACTATGATAAAGACCGGTATTTGGCGGACGGTTTTCTCAGTTTTTGTTTGCTCTTCATATTTGACACATTTAATCCGAATTCATTAGTGAATAAAGTGAATTTTTTCGGGAATAATTGGTACATATAGTTCAGGTAATTATCAATTAATTAAATATTTATATATCAAATTGTTTGTTTTAATTCATTCATAACAATTACTTAATATTAGAGTTTTTGTGAACATATAATTGACACATTTAATCCGAATTCATTAGTGAATTTTTTCGGGAATAATTGGTACATTGTTCAGGTAATTATCAATTAATTATTTATGTCTGTATCAAATTGCTTGTTTTATTTCATTCATAACAAATACTTAACATTATTAGAGTTTTTGCGAACATGTTAATTTTGCTAATATTTGTCTTATTACATTGGCGTGTTTATTTTTTAAATTAGCCTTTACTAATAAATATTGCAAGTGTTTTTATTTTTATAAAGAAAGTTCGGGATTTGATGCTGATTAGTCGAATTTTTAATGATTCTACTAACACATTATTTATAAATGTTGATTTATACTCTGTTATTTGCCGCAAATAATCTACTTATTTGAGTATTTGTGCTTTTTCAGATTCTCTAAAATATTTTTATTAATTGATTAAAATAACTTGCATTGAGTGTAATTGAGAATATGATTTTCCTATTAATGAATATTTCTCTTCTCTAAATTGTTTATAATATGTACTTCACAATGTGCTTAAGTTAAACTCTGATAGGATTGTGATTTAATTGTCGTAATTAATTTGAGTCAGACCGGTAGTTATTTAGCTATTTCAGGAATTCGAATTTCGATAATTCATTACACAGGAATTTTCCTTCGTAACGAAATAAATTATTAAATAGCTCTTATGATGAAATTTTAAACATCGGACACTACTAATTTCATCATGCTAGAACCGAGCTGCACATTCATTTACAAACAATATTAGAAATTACATTAAATAAATGATTTAATTTCTGTCAAATTTTAACAAAACAAGCAACTTCATTTTAGGCAGTCAAATTTATTCATTAATTTAAATTACTTTTTAAATTTGGAGTCAATATAAAATTTTGAAAACTTAACGAGTTTAAAAAGGAAATTTCTTCAGTACACAAATTTTACTACATAAGATAAATGTATTTATAAATTAGAATTTTCTATAGCTAAAACAAAGTGTACTCTTTCAAACTGCCAATTTTTTTTATTTAATTTTGTTAGTCCATCTATCTCATTCCACATTTATTTTTTATTTATTAATTTTTTAGAACGTTTATAAAGTTTATTAGTTATTAATTTTACGAAACATTATCGTAACTATTTATAAATACACACGATGTAACGTTTTACTCTTCCTGCCACTATCGCGAATTTAACTTGTTGTAATGTATCAATTTATAAGGCCTTTAATTTACAATTTAAAACTATTGTTCGATTATATACTTAACAAACAGGTAATTACTGCGAAATAACTATAATTTCGAACTTTATTGTACTACTATTATAAATTTGAAATAAAATTTTGTTACCATCAAGTAGTATATTAGGTTAAGTAAACAAATCACTGCAATAAAAGAATTATTTTATATGTATATTGAAAAATCGTCTGCGGTGCCTCTGCTTTGGGTATTCAACCTTATGATACATTTTGTTTTCCTGCGCAGAAACTATAAAACTTGAAAATTCGAAACAAGATGATGGAATAAAAAAATTAGCGTTCGATGATTAGTTCGAAAATTATTAACTGGTAAACTTATCGATTTGCAGCAGTATTGCAATTATAGAATTGATCGCAATGTAAAGTCCATTTTTATTTAAAAATTTTAGTATTTTTTCAAAATTCCGATTTCTTCGAAAGTTATTACAATTTTAAGTGCTTGTTTTCTCCACATATTTTACTTTAAATAAAGACTATTGATCCGTTAAAATTTTATTTATTTCTCTGTATGTATTCGCTTTAGTTATGTTTAAAATAACAAACTTGATATTGAAATTTCTAAAAATATAATTCGAGAGACATCGATCGTTTTCTATATGAACTGTTACAACGATATTATGGATATTTTTAAACAATATTAATTACTACGACGAGTCGTTAACGTGTAAAATTACTACTCATTTATTTCTTCTTACTCATAAGTTTTTGTTGATTACTTTTCAAATCCAGGTTTTCTTTTATTTCGTTAAGAATAACATTTTGACAAAATCCTCATATAGTTTAGTCTTCGGGTTTATGAAATTTCAATAAAAATTCAGGGGTTTGTCCAGACATTTTGTGAAAGGTCCGATTTTCGTGAAATTGTGAAAAAATTACTCACATTCTTTCAACCTGGATCCTGCTTTTATGAATTTATGCAAATAGGGTCCGGTTATTGCAAAAAACTTTTTCAAGGAGTTTTTAAATTGTAAATATATACAAGATTATGTTCAGCACTGTAAAATTATAATAAAAAAAATTCAATTTTCAAAAATAAACAGCTTCTAAATTAGAGATGCAACATACAAATATTTTGTATTTAGCCTATACTGCTGAAAGCAGAATATTCATTTCGGCGAATAATGAAGATTCTGCCATTATTCGCCGAAATGAATATTCTGCTTTCAGCATTATAGGCTGAATACAAAATATTTGTATGTTGCATCTATAATTTAGAAGCAGCAATTGCTGTTTATTTTTGAAAATTTTTTTATTTTTTTATTATGATTTTACAGTGCTGAGCATAATCTTGTATATATGCTTGAAGACAAAACTTAATTCGTTTACATCCATCTTTCTTGCTTCTTTGCCCTGGGAAGGGTTTATTCAATTAACAAAACAATAATGAAGATAAACAAATTTGTGAAGGGTCCGATTAAAAAAACATTTTGTGAAGGGTCCGTTTTTAAGTTGAAATATTTTGCTAAGGGTCCGTTTTTATGAAAAGATATTTTGTGATGGGTCCGTTAACGGACCCAAATTTCTTCTAAACAGACCCTTGGCATTTATTTCATTCAAAGAATTTCCTTTTTTTTTTTAATAAAAAAATGTCGATTCTAAGTAAAAAACAATGAATGCGAAGCAATTACGAGGGTTAGTGAGCGAAACGAGTACGACTGGAGCCTCCAAATAAATTAAAATATTGACACTTAGCCGGTCTTTTTTACCGGTATAAACAAACGGATATACTAAAGTAGTAAAATTTATCTTGAATGACAAGTTGTTTACGGCTAGCTATGCAGGACAAGCTTTCTACGGAGCCTTCGTGATCGATACGTGTAATCCTCATGACGTATGGCTGATTTACGATAAATCAATATCGTTTAGCAATTTCTTATGTTCACTTGTCGGGGATAAAAAGCTATTTTCAGTAAGTATTATCATACTCTACGTAATAATTATTGACCTTGTGTATGAATTAACAATAAAAAAAGCTGACTACTTGGAGTGCAGAAATTAGATCGTTTTGTAATATTGAGATAAAATTAGATAGGGTGATTCAGACAGGGTTGCGTCTTAAATTTCTAAACATATCTGCTTTCAAACAAGTGAGATATTTATAAATGATCCACTAATTATCTAACCCTGCGTTTAGTATATTTAATTTTTACAAATTATTTTTAGTTTTTGAGTGCACCGTGGTTGGAAATGCGAAGGTTCAATCGGGAAGTAATATGAGACGTAAAAATAAATTTCTGAGATGATAAAAGAATTTAACAATTTTAAATTTTTTTGTAATAAAAGTGTATTTGTACTTGATTTGTAACAAATATATTATTCTATCTATGTCCTCTACGAATTTATAACTAAGTTACCGCCAATGTGTGAAATATGGCATTTCTAAGAAAGCCTAAAATCGACTGATAAAGAATTTTTCGCATATTGCCTGGGCATGATAAAGAATGACTAATGACAAACTGTCACCTAAGTATGAAATGATTTATATTTCACTCATTGCTTAGGTATTTTATGTAATGTTTAATTTATACAATGATTCAGAGTTCTAAAGAATGTTAGCACAATATGCATTGATGGTAACATACAAAAAATAAATATAGAAAATGTTTGCATGCAACATTTACATATTTACCTGGGCCAGTGATTCTGAGTTTTTAGACTGTTATACTGTCCTATCATTTAAATTTTGAATATATTTAGTTAATCATTAAGTTAGAAGGTTAATCAGAGACGATTATCTGGCCACTATTTTAATTTTTATTATGCAGAATGAAAACAAGGTTTATAGTCTTTATTTATTGTGCCCCGGATCGAATGATTACTAATAGTATAAGCGTCTTTTTATCTCATGGTTGACTTAATTGATCAGCTATAAAATATTTCGAAGAAACATCTGGTTTGCACTAAAATCTTTAAAAGTAACTGTATACTCCAGAAACTTATTAAAAGGATTATTTTTAGAAAGAATTAAAAGCTGTGTAAACACTGAGCAGCAACTTGAACGCTTCCCATAAAGCTAAAGAATACATATAGTCAACCTTAACGTTTTTCTGTATGAAGTTATGTTTGAATGAACTTTCAAATTTCACGTAATTTATATAAAATATTACCATAATACATAATTTTTTCGGAAAAAGTTTAGAGAAAATTATTTTGAGGTGGTTCTATTTATTTAATATTTTCCTGGCTTTAAAATTGAGTTTAAAGAAAACCGGGTATTTTTGGGGTTTGAACTATTTTGACTGAAAGTCAGTTTCTTTTAATTTGAAGAATTTCGTTCGGTTTTCAGTCGCGTGCAGAGAGGGAGTCGGACGCTTCAAGCTGAAGGGGACCTCCAATGAATGACTAAAGACGCTAAAACTTTATACTACTGTTTTTTATTATGCAATTTAATTTTAAATAGTTTAAAAAAATTTTAAATTCCAATAATAATAAAAATAATTAAAGAATTTCTATGAGTTAAGTTTTAATTTTTTCTCTCGGAAAAAACTTTTATGTAGAGTAATATTTCCAAATAATTTTGATAATAAAGTTTTAGAGCATTAATCTAAAGTGTAATATAACGTATAAAATCAAAACTTTCTTTTTTTTAAAAATTTTTTGTTAGAAATAATTAATTTTTGTTATAGAATAAAAGAATGAATTTAAAGTACAGATTTAGATTTTTATAAATATTTTCTCCATGTACCTTACTATTTTTTTCTTCTTTTTGCTTTCTGTGATTACGTTATTTCTGAGTAATAAAGTTTACAAATCCCTGGGTTATCCTTAAAGCTTTGCACGCTATGGCACGTGCTTCTCATATAAAAGAAATGTATATGAGTTCCCTAACACTTTAAATGTCATAATAGCCATATGTCTGATCATGCAGAGTGGTGATCCTGGGCTATGTCTTTCTGTGGATTACTTACATATAAATTAATTTTTACTTCTCAAACACTATTTAATGGCCATGGCCCTTGTGGAAAATGCCCTCCATGTAGGGAAATGCTACATGGAGAGCATGATTACAGCAACAATCCATGTTGTTGTAATCATTCCCCCATAATAGCAGAAATGCGAACTTTAAAATAATACCTTTGTCTAACTATATTGAAATAAATAAAATTTATTTCAGCGTTATCTGTTGAGAATAATTTTGTTTGTTGTTTTAATAAAAATTAAATAGCCCCTATCAATTTCCCCTAACTTTATGATTATTGTCATATTTCTTTTAATATTCTCGTAAAAAGTCTCGTAACTAATTTTTTTTTTGAGTGTCTGCAAAATACCATTTTCATACCTTTCAAATTTAATTATATATTCTCTGACAACATCAGTCATTTCTGAAGTAAGGTAATTTTTCAAAGCATATTATTAATGGATAATTTAGGTATATGTATGCATATATACTTAAAAAGTTTAATCTATATCGAATTTTCGATAAAAACGATATCTCAATTAATGATATTCAAATGTTGACTATCTAATCTTTTTCAGGTCTGACGCACATTGTGTTATAAAAATAAAATAGTTCTTTGACAATGACATTCCAAATTTAGATTTTGATAAATATATTTTCCGGGCCAAGCGCGATTTGCAATCTGAAAATATTGGTTCAAGCAAGGTTTCTAATCCAAAAAAAAGTATTAGGAAATATCCATCAAAATTGTGTGGTTTAAAATTAAAAGGTAAGATATTGCTAAAAATTCCATAAAACTGATGGATTTAGGCACAGCTCGAAATGCGTGTTTTCGAAAATGGACAAACCTTAAAACACGTGTTCACAAATATTGACGTAGCTATTTAAGAAGATTGTCATAGAACTTCTAAAATGAGTGTTGTTCTTTTTCTTAAAAGAATTAACCGCTGAATGCAAATAAATTCATAATGTGACATCGACCACTTATATAAATCACTTGGTACATTTATTAAATTAGTCTTTATTAAATTAGTTAACAGTCTACCTTAACAATTTGAAATATGAAAAAAAAATTTCAGCACTTCAACGGATAACTCTAGTTAATCTGAACTTTTGCTAGATAGTTTGTAGAATAACTGATTTCTACACTTTAGAGGTAGTATACATAAAGACGAGAGAAAAACAGTATGTGAAAATAAATTGGCTTAAAAAAAATCTCTTTTGACTCCGGCATATTTCCGAAATGAATGCTGAAGGTGCAACGATAATAACCCTGTGAGGGAAAATAGGGAGAGTTTCTTTTTTACTTTTTTTTTATTTTTTACCTATTATTTATGTCAGGACAAACGTCGGCCCGTCTTGTCAGAAATTGATAAATTACGTATGTGTTTTTTTCCCCTTTTTATGATTTGGTATGCTTTGGATATTATAACGTGATTTACAAAAATAAGTGGTATTGCTATAATTTGCTTAAAATCTAAATTCTTGAAGTTCCTTTTTTTTTTTTTTTTTTTTAAGTATTCCTATTTTTTTCCCATGCCTTTATTCCCCTTATATTAATATATCATCTAACATTATTTTTATATTATCATATTATTACTCTTTATATATCTTATATTACTCTATTTATTAAAAAAATAGTAAAATAAATTATAATAATAATTATAAATTTTTCATGTGTGAAGCCATTTTTTTTTATTAATATTTTTTGGTTTGTAGGTGGGGGACCATTCATTGTCTGTTGAAGACTATCCCCCCCCCGGGCTGCAGGTCTGAGTGCCTCTAGATTCGCTTCATTTAACAAATATAAATAATACTATAAGTAAATATATCTGAAATTAAAGTAATTTAGTGTTAGTTGAGAAATTTGTTTTGGATAGAATTAGGAGTCAATCAAGTGCCTTGACATTAAAATTGAAAGTCTAAGTTTTCTAATCTAAGTTTTCGATCTAAGTTTTTAAAATTACAGTGAAATATTATTAAAAGAAAGTCAAAGTTTATTCAAATAATTTTTCGGACAGTTAATTGTCATACAAGAATTTTATTATTTGAGTCTAATGGATATTGTTCTGTGGTCAAACCGGGAAGAGATGCGCAATAAAAATATCGTCAAAAAATGCTAAAAATTAAAATTTATCGTTTTATATACAATAAATTAAAATTTAGTTTATTACAAAAGACATTTTATTGCTTCTGCGGTTCACGTTCTTTTAAGTGACATATTTCGTGACAATCGCATTTCTGCCATTAGGTAAATTCAGATATGCTTTAGTGACTGCGGCCTAATTTGAATTAATAAATAAGTTTATTTTAAATATTCTGCTTTTAATAATTTTGTACTAAATGTTTTAAAATTAAGTTACAATAAATTTTTTAAAAATATCTTAGTGTTATGGATCTTTTTTTTTTAAAGTTGTGACAGTTAGAATCAAATTTTCAAAAATCTTCCCTAAAATCTATTTGGTTGTCAGTTTGAGATATAATCCAATATTTTTGCAAAGGGCTTCTGAATTTTTTTCTTCTATTTCTGACTTCACGAAAATTTAAGAAGCTTTCTTAACGAGAAATGACATTAGATATCAAATAACTCAATGCAGATTTAGGAAATTTTCTTAACGAAAAAATGAGTCATTATAGATATCAAATAAATCAATTTAGAAAGCTTTCTTATAACGAAAAATGAACCGTTAGATATGAAATAGCTTAATCTAGATTTAGGAAGTTTTCGAAAGTGTGCCGGTCAACACCAAATAGCTTTACTTAGACTTAATTATTAATTTGGAAGACTTTAGTAAAACATAGTAACTTAATTCGTTAATTAGTGTATCACAAGTAGGTTAATTCATCTCAAAAATTTACTCATCTATCTTATCTTTTTGTTTAGTTTTTGGATTAGGAGAATTATTCTAGACTTTACTAAGTATTAAAAAAAAAAAAAAAAATTGCCAAGGTGGATAGGAAACTGTATCCGTGAAAAGGAAGCCTGAAATGATTGAGGAAGTTGATGTTTA